TCCCCTCCTCTCTCATCGTTTCTTTCCTTTTTCTCTTGCGCGATTGACGCGCATCTCTCCCTTCAATATGGATATGAACCATCTTATAGGGTCAGTCTTCAATGCCTACTGGTCTGAACCAGGGTTTGTGCGGCTAGGCTGGAGTTAACACCTGGCAGTCAGCGGTTCAACCTGATTTCCAAGAGTGACATTCGGTATGTAACCATCGCTTCCTTGTCGATTCTAATCCTCGTCCACGATGGCCGTGCATCTTACTGACCCCCCCCGGCGCAGCTATGTGGGTACTTTGCATGAGATCAACCCTGAAGCGTCCACAATAGCTCTCGAGAATGTCGTGTCCTTCGGTACCGAGGGTCGGCGAGGCAACCCTGCAGATGAGCTTCCACCTGCCTCAAATATCTATGAATACATCGTCTTCCGTGGCAGCGATGTAAAGGACATCAGTGTAGCCGAGGACAAGAAGGACGATGCAGCCCCAGAGCCTCCACAGGTGCCAGATGATCCGGCCATTCTAGGGGTAAGTCGAACCACAATATCAGAGATACTTCCCATAGTCGTAGCTGGTGTCTCGAGTCCACCGACCTTCGCAGTCGGTAAAAATGATCTTATGATGAACTATTTCGGATGTAAACACAGACCTGTTCCGAACAGCGCAAAAACCGTGTGGAGATTTCCGTTGCCTTCCTTCTGATCAGATCATGGACTTCGTACCTTGCTTGCAACTTTGTCTTTGGACTCTACAAGGGATTTTGGCTAACCTTGTAAAAAAATAGAGCATGTCTCGTCCAGGACCCGCCCCTCAAGGAATCCCCCCTCAATCCCACGACGCCACAACAATCTCAGATGCCCCGTCCGCCGCCGCCGCCTGGATACCCCCAACCACAATTCCAAGGAGGCTTCTACCCACCCTATGGACAACGCTTTGGTGGACCTGGTTTCCCCCCCGGCCCAGGTTCCCAAATATGCCCTATGGAGCTCCCCCAGGATGGTTCCCCCCTCCCGGACAAGGGTTCCCCCAGCCAGGCCAATTTCCTCCCCAGATGCCAATGGGTCCTGGCGGCCAGCATCAGACCCCCCCTCCGCCGCGGCCAATGCCCGGTGCGGGTCCTATGAACCTGCCTAAGAACACATCCGAACTGCCCGTCTCTGATAAGCCCTCCAGTAAGCCTGGTAGCCGTAATGGCACGCCTGCACCTAGTAATGCGGCCCAAAATGCCCCCACTCCGCCCGTTGAGTCTAAGCCGCCTGTTTCGGAGGCTCTTCAGGCGGCTACTGGTCCTACTCAGGTCGTCACGGCTGGAACCGCTAAGGCGCCACCTACCGGACCCAGAAGTGGACGTGTGCAGCCTGCCATCCCTATTGCCGCCCCCGGTAAGCCGCCAGTTCCTCAGGTTCCTGGCCCCGCTGGTGTCCCACAGGGTCAGGCCCAGGCAGCCATCACTGAAGCTACTCGTGCTGCTACTGCTGCCGTAGCAGCTGCTATGGCTAAGTTGCCACAACCCGGCGCTCAGAAAAAGCCCGGCGATGCCTCCGTTGAGGGTGTCACGAAGCAGATGGCTGAAATGAAGCCTTATGAGCACCGTGCACCCCGGGGTGGTCATCACCCTCGTGGCGGCCGTGGTGGTGGTCACCGCGGCCAGCACCAGGGAAAGAAGATCGAAGTTCCGGAAACGGACTACGACTTCGAGACCGCCAATGCCAAGTTTAACAAGCAGGACTTGGTCAAGGAAGCCATTGCCACGGGCTCTCCTGTTCATGAGGTCGAGCCTCACATCCCCAATGGCGAACCGGAAACCCCGGATAGCTATGCTGCTGCGTACAACAAGTCCAGCTCGTTCTTTGACAATATTTCGAGTGAAGCTCGGGATCGCGAAGAAGGCAGTGTCGCTCGTGCCGGTGGCCGAGAGTGGCGCGGTGAAGAAGAGAAGCGTAACATTGAAACCTTCGGTCAAGGTAGTGTCGACGGCTATCGTGGCGGTTACCGGGGCCGTGGCAGAGGTAGAGGATATGGCCGTGGTCGCGGCGGCGGCTATGGTCGAGGCTACGGTGGCCGTGGCCGTGGTGGTGTGCGTGGAGGCCGTAATATGTCTCAGTCCACCGGCGTCCCTGCCCAGAACTAGTCCTGCCTTGTGGCATCCTCGACCTGATTCCGATCTCCCGTCGCATTTCTTGAAGCGCTTAGCGTTGAATATTTTCCTTTATTTTGCCTTTTCTGGAAGTGATGCGTCCTTCCATGGCTTGTTTCTGATATTACCCGGCGTCTGATGGTACCTTCTCACGAATACTTGGCATACAGTCAAGATCTCCTCATGTTTGGGATGTTTTATGGTTACGGTGGGGATTGGTGAATTACCTGCTGGGATGGTTTTTCGTTACGCGGCGTCGAATTATGGCGTTTTACATATGTTGCATGGGTTGGTCATCACCTCCATTGCATTGATCACATATCTTGATGATAATCATGTTTTGTCTTCCCGGCGCAGTCGTGCAGTCCCGGGCATGGCGGCATAAGTTGGCTTGTTTCCCACATACTATGCCTGCATATTTGATTCATGGAGGTTTCTGGTCCCTGTCAAACACTCGGCGCCTGTTGAAGGAGTGCCACTGGAAGTATCTCTGGAGATGCTCGCACGGAAAGCTGGATACGACTTGGGACCTTGATTTCTCCTGTACCATACTCCAAGTGATCCCAAGGATCTGACATGAATGAAAACGAGAAAAACGGAGACCGTTTGGTCTACCATTTTGTGTGCTTTTGCTCGTAATCTGTAATTGCTGATGTAGGACCCATGATGCATAACTCCCACGAGTTGTGCATTTATAAGCTTTTGCCTCTTGACGGAGAAGCTTTGCGATTGCTGCAGCTGCTAATTTGCCGTCGGCTATCTTGACCCCTCTCTCGGTATAGACCTAAACTGCGAACCGACTGAAGAGCTCCATGACAGATAAAACGCCGTAGTCTCTGATTTGTCAATCTACGCCTCTTCTGGCTGTTGAGGAGTTGATCTGCACTATGATTACTAAACGTGCTGTTCCCCGCATCCACAACATGACGTTCCAGGTTTACTGCCTCGGTGAAGTAGCTGATTGCGGATATGGATGGAGACTTGACAACCACAACCACGGCACGCCCTTCGCAGGAATGCTATTCCCTCAAAATGGCTCCATCCGTCGTCCTCTGAAGCCATCTACAGACCCGCCTTGATCCACTGTCCCACCGAAATCTCCAGAAGACAGACCCGAGACACCTCGCCTACACCGCAGTATTATAACTATATAATTGGGCCAGACCTCCAACATGGCCAGTACCTCAAAACGACTCAGCAAACTAGCTGACCATTTGTCCACCTCACTTCCTTCGTCAACAAGTCCCAGTCTAAACGCCAACATGACTACCCAAATCCCCGACAACCTCCCCTGGGACCCCAACTGTACGCAGTTTCCCTCCCGCAAGGAACTTCCTAAGATCCCCGGGGCGCCAGAAGGTGCAGCCTGGGTATGGGGGAAGGATGACGAGGTTCGTTTCTTCACTCTGGACGTAGCCTTTAGCATGAGGATGTCATACTGAGTGGTCGTAGATAGGACGTCTGAACCTGCTCACCCCGGCCAGAGTCAAAGCCGCCGCTGCGGAAGTTCAGACCGGCGAGATGTTCCGACTGGAGTGAGTTGTTTGCTCATTTCGTAACGAGAGTCCGGAGATCTAATGAATTGATTGCATCAAGTCTTCCGGTCAACGTCCCCGAGACACCGGCTTTCGGACGCGAGACCTTCCAGCACAGTATCAAAACGCTGATCAAGGATGTCGCGTACGACGATATATATACTCTGAACACGCAGAGCGGGACTCAATGGGATGGGTTTCGCCATGTACGTCTCTCCCCTATCTTAACTCTATCTCTATAAGAATAAGAATAGAAAGGAAAAGAAAGCTAACAAACGAACCCCAGTTCTCCCACATCGACAGCAAGCTCTTCTACAATGGAGTACGTACATACATATATATTTTTTATGAAATATCCAAGAATAGTCCCCTCTACACTGATACTAACAATAACAACCAGACAAGCTCAACCGACATCGAACCAGGCCCCAACTGCACTGCCCGAGGCAGCATCCACCACTGGGCCACGCACGGCATCGCCACGCGCGCCATCCTGCTCGACTACCGCCACTACGCCAACACCCACAACATCCAGTACGACCCGTACACGCGGCACCCGATCAGCATGGCCGACCTGCACGCCTGCGCCAAATCGCAAGGCCTGGATCTCCGGCCTGCCTCCCAAGGCGGCGACGTCCGCGTCGGCGACATCCTCCTCGTCCGCTCCGGCTTCGTCGAACGCTACCACCAGCTCTCCTCCGCGGAGCGGCACGCGGCCGCCACCCGCGCCCACGAGGAGTTGACCTGGGCCGGCCTGAACCAGGAAGAGGAGATCCTGGACTGGTTGCATGATTGCTATTTTGCGGCTGTCGCGGGCGATTCGCCGACGTTTGAGGCTTGGCCCCCTGTCAAGGAGGGCGGGTATATCCATCAGAATATCTTGGCGCTGTGGGGTATGCCGCTCGGCGAGATGTGGGATTTGGAGCGCCTGGCGACTCGGTGTAGAGAGCTTGGCAAGTGGACGTGCTTTTTGACGAGTGCGCCCGCTAATGTCGTTGGGGGCGTCGGGTCGCATGCTAATGCTACGGCTATTTTGTAGTTGTTTTTGGTTTGTGTGGGGTGGGTGTTGAGGTTGGGTTCTCAGGGGTATATGGGGATAGATATGTGGGTGGTTAATGTGGTTCTGGTTGAGGAGTATGTGGGAATGGTCGTAACTTCGTTAGATTCGTGAGTATTAACATAGGAAACTTCAACAACTACTCTTCTCTCCTGGCGTGAGTGTACCAATAGAACACTTCGCCGTTCTTCCTCCTCCTTCTCTCCTTGGTAGGCTGGATATGTATCCAACGCTCGTCCTGTCCTGTTTTCCAGATGACGTCCTTCCAACACCAAAAGAGCATCAGAAGATATCGTCAGGCCACCGGAACGCATCCCCAGCCTTGCCGTTCATCTTTCCCTGAGCCATTGATCTCCGGTTCCGCTCGCGCCTCTCAATCTCCTTTGCTAGCCTTCGGTCCACTTTCGCGGCTGTTGCGGCTATATCCTTAGGTAATGGGGGTACGGGCGGGATGTAGTTGTATGTGTATCGATGTTCCTTTTTCTTGGTTGGGGATGAATTCGGGCTTGCATCAGGTTGATCCAGATCAATCGGGTCTGAGTGCGATTGGTTCTGTCGGGAGTGGATTGCGTGCTGGTTCTCTTTATCGTGATTATCGATGTTCATCGCCTGCGTACTGGTGGATCGCAGATCGGCACGTCCCTTTTTCATGCGCAGCGACGGGGTGGTGCCTCTGTTTTGAGAATTGGACGCCCTTCGCCTCGCCGAGGGGGACCGCTTGCTGTGCGACCGGAGCGGTTGCGAGGCTCTTCTCCTTCGGCCGCGTTCTTCGCTCGGGGAACGTGGGGTATTGCTTTCGTCCCGGTGTCGCGGGGTTTGTTTGCGCTCTACGGAGCCGGGACTGTCGCCTGGAAACGTCTTGGGGAATTTGGATCGGCGAGACGAGTCGGATTGGTTGCCTTCCTCTGTGGGGTTTGTTGCGCCTTCTTTCGGGGATTTGGGGGTGTTTGCTGCGCTGGCGGATTCGGGATCGGGCGATTTGCGCTTCAGTGATGGGCTGTCGACGGCCAACGACTGTGTCGTTCGCTGACTGGGGGATTTGGCTGGGGTTCTGATGGTGGACTCGGGCTCGATGGTTGTTGTCATTGGTCCAGGGCCCTGGCTCTGCATGGTACGTTGGATGCTCTCTGATAGTGACATGGGGAGAGCTGAGTCAGATGTAGGCGAGATTGGGGATACTGGGTCGTGGTTGTTCAGGAGCCTCTCGGAGGGGAGTGTAGGGAGTGCACCGGGCACGAATTTCCTCTGGTGAGTTGAGTCATGACAGTGCGATCGCTCCGGGACCGGGGGTGCATCGTCGCCCATGAGCTCCTGCAGCTCTCGCCGGGCCTTCTCAAGCTTCTCCTCCAGCGTGCTCACCCGTCGCAGCAGCTTCTCTCTCTTTGACTTTTGCTTGCGCAGTTGCGGCTGCTCGGTGTCCTCTGATCGACGACCAAGGGGGATAAAACTCGACGTAATGCCCAGTGACGACTTGGCACGGCGGATCTCCTGGAACGAATTGCGCAGCGAGCCACTCGACTCATGGCCCTCACCGGAATTCTGCCTCGAGTGACGTCCCGTCGGTGACTTGTAGTCCATCTTCTCCTGGATTGACTTCCACGTCTGGTCCGCGAGGTTGTTGCTCGACTGCGACCCAGCACCCGCCATATATTTCCCCTTGACGGCGCCCCGATAGCCTGCCTTCTTCAACTCCGCATACGCCTTCTCGACGCGCGCGATATCATCGTCCACGGGCTGCTTATTCGCCTCGGCCGACGGCGACCCCTTCCACGCTCCCACATTCCCCCACCCACCAAACGGGTTAAACGCCGAGGCGATGGCCTTCCCGAAGCGAAAAATTCCGGACGACCGATGCGTCGGGCCCTGCTGTCCATTGGCGGACTTGCCGTCGCGCAGAAAGATGCTGGGCGGTTTCTCACTGACGCTATCGTTCATCATGCCCTCGACGAAGCGCGACCGGCGGCCGCGCCCGCTGGGACCCGCCTGACGTCCGTGCCGGCCCGAAGCGGTGCGTGGCGACCCATGGTCGGTCCTGGAATTGTTCCTACTATGAAAGGGCGAGCGCCAGCGCGAGCCCGTCGATCCGGTGTCTTTCAGCGGGGGCGGCGGTTGCAGTTCCTCTACGGGCCAGTCGTTGGAGCGACGGCGCTTCGCGGAGTGCGTGGATCGCGGCGAGCTGGCCGGGGGTGCGGAGAAGGCGTAGTCTTCGTCTGCGTCGTCGAAGCGACCGGAGACATCGGAGGAATAGTCGGAGGAATATTCCTCCTCGTCGTAGTCATCGTAGTCGTCGGTGCGCGAATGCTTGCGGGACCCGTGCGCAGTGACGGGGTCATCGCGACGACGGCAGGCGGATTCGAGCGTCTGGTGTAGTTGGCGGTCGGCTTGGGTGTCGTCTGTCGACATCTGTGCTCGCAGCTGAAGGCAAATCGTCAGCAAGGGTTGGCCTGGTTCGTTCGAGTTGGAGTGACGGGGGGGGGGGGGCGTGCAGAGCGCAAGGGAGGAAGAAAACGGGGCTCTCAGAGCTGTCAGATTTAATTGTCAAGGATGGACCAACCTCGGCACCCAGCGTCATCCCTACACTCGCTTCCTTTCTTTTTTTTTTTTCTTTTTTTTCCCTCGTTTTCGTTTTCTCTCCTGGTCCCCACTCGTTTCTCCGACAATGACGGCGCCGGTCACTACTAGTATGAGATCGGGTTATCCCAGGGCGCACGACAGAACGAACGAGTTGACGGCGTGAGAAATCGGGAGGACGAGAGAGGAGAAAGAGGAGAGAAAGAAAAGAGGAGACGAGGGAGTGTCTTGTTTTAATCGGGGGGAGTGAAATGAGGTCAATGTTTACCTTTTAGTGTGGATTGTTGTTGTTGTTGTTGTTTTCTTGTTTGGAGAACTAAATATGCGCCAAGAAGGGCCTTAGGCTGTCCCCTCTTGATTCAGGCCAATTCCGCCTATAGTTATACTCCCTCATTGAACATTCACCGTCTCAATGCATATTGTTTGTTGTCCCGGTATGTTTCGCCGGGGAATCTTTGCAGTATGTATGTTATGTTTCTTTATGGAATGAATGACGATCAGCCCTGAGGGTCAAAAATTCCCCGCGAGTAGCCATTCGATTGAATATTATCTTGTCACGATATTGATTCTAGACTAGAATGTACGCCGTAGAGGCCAAACGTTTACTCCTCAAATTCCCGGCTCCCAGTAAAATGGTTCTCAAATACATCTTGCCGTGGTGGCAGCCATGTTCCCAAGGCATGCGTAGCTGTCACACACGGCTGACGCCATTACATCTCCGCCACGTGACAAGTCGTGCAGTTTACAGTGTCACGTGGCGGTCTTTTGATGCCTGAGGCATATGATATACTAGACTCAAACTCCTGTCACGCTGCAGCTAGAAGATGGTGTAGTATACAGCAACATTCCAGGGGCAGCACTGTACGGGGTGCGTGGTCTATTACTTACTAGGCGGTACAATTGGTAATTAAGTTAATAGCTCAGTGTGTCTTCTAAGTGATGCGTATACCAGGGGGCTCCAAAGGCAATAGAAAAGACTAAAAGATCATCGAGAATCAGATTGGTTGACTAAGGAATGAATACGTATACCAAGCCATCCCACCAACATCTGTTGTGGCGCAAAACGGTGTCCCAATCGCTCATAATTTCTTCATAGCATCATCTCCAAGGGCCTTTCCGAGTGACTTTCCCCCAGTGCAACCCCTGGCCAAGACCGTGCCTCTCGTTTCCAATACACAGTGTTGATGCCATAATCTTAAGACTCTTAGGGTCTGCCATCTTCTCTAACCTTCTCCATGACAGCCCTAGCCAAGCTATCCATGCTGTCGTGAGTTGAAAGTCCGTCCAGAAGCAGGTTACCGTTCCAGTCCTTGACACTGATTTTGCGCACATGTCCTTCGACGGATTTGTCCCGGTGCTCAAATGTCATGGCAAAGCGCCAGTCAGCGTCGGTGAGGGCCTTTCCCAGCTGTGTGGTGTTGGGATGGCAAGCTCTGGGACCCCAAATAGTCTGGCCTTTGTATTTGAGCTCGCCCACGAGGGTGTGCCCTTCCACGGAGTGGCTTTTGTGCTCGGTCCAGACTTCCATGGTTCTTGTGGATGAGAGTTAGCTTGTGGGAAAGACTCTTGGGTAAGGTAGCTTTTCATACCTGTTTGGTACTGTGATGATAACGTGTGAAGATGTCTGGCAGGTCGGGAGCTTCGTGTGATGAAAGGTAATGGAAACTGATGGTGCTGGTTTATGCTCGACAGCTTGGGGATAGGAGTCCCTTTATATATTGGATAAGGCTTCACAGCCAACCCGTAGAACTCTCTATGCGTACAGAAGTACTACTAGACCCAGGCCTGAGCGTATACACCCCTTCGCCTGTCATTATCTTGGTAGCAGGGGTTGGTAGCCTTGTGAGTCGGTGGCGAGCTGAATCTAGGATCATTTCCTCTCTTTGCTATGGAGACTACAGATCCTGAGATTGACCAGACTCTTGATGGCATGGGGCGGAGCTGCTAGCCTTGACAAGACTCGGTCTTGTCCGTGAATCAAGTTGTCTGATCTCCATCTACCGTTTGTTCGTAGCGAGCTGGTTGTCAGACGAGTGAGCAGGTGGCGAGCTGAATCTATAATTCTTTCCCGTTTTGGCCATGCAGAGTACAGATACTGGGCTGGAGTGGCGCCCTGTTAATAGAGCCGAGCTGGTGATATTGGCAGGATTCGGTCTTTGTACCTGTGAGTCCTGCTGTCAGATCCCAAAATGTCTAGCGCCGGGCAGCTTTCTATGGTTGTATGCAGACACGAACTAGTAGACCTAAGTATCTCTTGCCCTATCATTCCTTGGTACTGGGGTAGCCATCAAGATGGTAAGAAGGTGGCGAGCTGAATCTATGATAGTTTCCTCTTTTTGTTATTCAACCTGGGTATACTGGGACCGATGTCTCAGTTGAACTGTTCCCTGTCAGCTTGTCCTGCCCACTTTCCAATATGCCTATGGAAGGTGACCACAGCCTTCTCCTTGTGGCTATACCAATGATCACCAAAGGCTGACCACAGGCTGTTCTTGGTAGCCTTGCGTTTCTGCAAATCCTCGGAAGCCCATGGACGCTAGAGAGTGGAGAATCATGCAGCTGGATCACTGCCGGAGCGTTCTGGGCCTGTCGGCTAAACAGTCCAGGCAAAAGACCAGAACATTAGGCTTCCTGTCAAATACATTACGTCTACCACCATATTTACATACCCTAGGGATATTGTAACCGTTCGATTCGCGACTCTGCCTGCCTCGGAAGACTAGTAGGTATGATGAATTGGTTGCTAGGGCTTTTGTCGCTTCCTGCTTAAAAAGGGGGTCTAACTTTAGTTTTAATTATCAGTGACTTGTAAATGGTTCTGGTGACAGAATGGCCTAGCCTCCCATGCATAACGTCGTAATACGTATGATTATGCGTAATGCAACGTGGATAGCGTTGCATATTGATATTTAGTGTGTTGTTATGCAGTTGTTCAGCTGCGAACTCCCAAGGTGGGGTCTAAACCCCTGCTTGCTTTGGTATCTCACCTCTCCACTAGAAAGGCACAACTCAAGAACTAGTAAGTCTTCCAGCGCACGTACTACGTGGCTGTTAGGATAGAGCGTGACACTACTCCCTTCCTATAGACCCCGCGCGTGCTACCTGAGGGGTGACCTAAGAGGTAAGCTGGAGGATGGACAGGCAGGCATCCGAGGTTAAAGAAGGTGGAGCCAGGGGCCTAAAGGACCCGATTGGCAGCTAGCCTCCCCCAGATAGAACCTTAGAAGATACTACTAGTAGGTAGTAATCACGGTACGGACCGTACGTGCGCAGCGGTGGTCTCGACCACGGGGAATCAGGAATCGCCCGCACTGGACTATCGGCAGTTCTGGATCTTCTGGTTCTAGGTAAAACTGCCGAGAGAGTGTGGGTTCGAAATTATGCATGTCAGATGTGGAGGTGGGTTTTCATTACGTATTAATGTGAAGAACTGCTGCTGGCTTTCGGACGCTCCGCTACTCTAAATATACGCAAGCGAAGCCTTGCTGCGGGTTGTCCTTGGATGTCACATTGCAGCATATGGGGAGGATACTACAATTCTCTTGTGCTGCCTTTTCAACCATCTCTAGCTGGCAGTTTGGGATGTAGGTCTTATACATGCTATGAAGATATCTGATTGGAAAGTCTTTCCCAAGTAGGGTGGAACTTTCATCCTCCCCGAACAAGCTGTTTGGGATATGTCGCCCTCTATTTGTGGGCGCTTAACTGGCGAGGAGTCCTTTGCTTGCCATTTGCTAAGGGCCTTAGAGGAAGATAGAGTTTCTGAATAATAGTTTGTGTGAATCAGGTATACTCAAGTATTGACTTCCAGTTACTCGAAGCGGCTTCGATGAAATTTGTCCTCGTTCTGCTAACAGCACATAACAGCCAGCCTCTGTATCGTATACCACTCCTACCCTATCGGCCATTTCAACACCCCCGTCCGGTAAGAGATACTAGCCGCTTATGAAAAGATAGTGCTGGAAGCCATCTCCGGCTAGCCCACGACTAGAGACCATAGTCCGATTGAGAATCAACGATCCGTTGTTGGAAATACGATTTTCGACTTATCCAGACACAGCCATAGGCCCCAAGGTCGCTGCTCTAGAACATGTTGCAAGTTCCCCATCCGTCATTGGGGCCGTTTGGTCGACAACCGATGAGCGGGCCACATTCCTCGCAGCCTGACCAGATACAGCATCTTCCACCTGGAGGGATGGCTGCGGAGTGATCAATATAGCTCTGATGAAAGGCACTTTACCTTTTTTTGTCATATATACAAAGAGGAAAGAGAAGAGCAAGACTGACGGCCAACTTGTTTCTCAGCAGAGACAGGGCTTGCCGCCACAGAGCTCGAGAATGCCAGCAAGATAGTGGCGAATGCAAGGCTGAACTTCATGGTCGCGGTGGTTATGAAAGATTGAAGATGAGCTTTTGTTTGAGAATGACTATAAGGAACTCTGTTGATGAAGTGGCTTGACTTGATCTTGGGTCCTCAACAGGGAACAAAGATGGGTATTTATACCCTACCGACGGCCTCTGTAGTTCTCAAAGGCTGCGGTGTCTTCTCAGCCTAACACGTCCTTGCATAACGAACCCTTCCATAAGAAGCCCTTGCAATCTAGTATAACAGGAGCTGCGTGGTTACCCTCAGATTTGAGACTCATAGAGAAACACATCAGCCGCAGGAGGTAAGGGATTCATCCAAAGCATCATAGTACATGATGACCTACTGCAGTAACACCGGTCTAGCAACATACCGCTCATTGTTTAGTGCCTTTACTACGGAGTTCGCCGAAGCCATCAACCCGAAGGCATCTTTGTTGTAATGCAAAGGCGGATTGAATTGTACTATTTTCTTCTATAGACCTAAAAGTCTATATATAATATAGATATTGGATTGATTGAATATTGATCCACTTCTACATAGAATGTTATTCTGTATATAAAGCTCTAGTAGTTTGCTCCAATTGAACCCGGACGTATAAGGAATAGCGCTGGTCTAGTTCGGCTTCAAAATCTGGGGACCCGCCCGGCCCGCCCCTGCCTGGCGCAAGGTTAGGTTTGCGGTGGTGCTGATCCGCACCGATATTGGCCTATCTGATCCATAGATCGCAGCAGCCGCCCAATCTATGTACTGCAAGATGACAATTCCTGGTACAGAGGGGCATAAGACTATTGGAAACACCTTTGTGATATGACCAGGCGTTCTACAATCGAAACAGAGACCGCTCTGCCATCGCTCCTGCTCAGGTTGGCTTCCAACAGCGATCGCTTTCTCTACTATCTTTTCCCGTGTGTCAGAGCGTGTAACGGCGGTATACGATATAGATGCGATCCATGGCTTCTAGATCGTAGATTCAGAATCATCTGGCCTTTTGGCCTAGTTGTGAGCGTGTTTGCCTGGATCACGCGCCCTCACAGAGCGACGATTTCCGTCTTGCAATTCTCTTTCGAGCCTGAGACACAAAAGTGATGCAACGTATGTCTCACATGCGATGAGGCTGGCCCTACTCCTACACCAGGTGGCAAACAATGGCAGATTAACCAGCCCAGGATTTGTATCGCGGAGTACCCAAAGGGGGCGTCCACAGGGAGTATCCTAGAGTAAAGAGCTTACTCGGAGCAGGATTCGACACACTTCTCTAATGAAGGCGGCGTCGTAGCACAGGCAAGTCGATTAATTAAGGAGCCAGTATAAATGGACCAGCAGATAAATAAATCATTGGTTAGTTTGATGTCGCCCCATACTGCTCTTACGGCGCAGCCTCATAGTTGGCTATCTGTTCTGTGGCTCATGGTACACATGACTCAATCTGTCTCTTTAATATCTATTTACGATAACAATACCAGAAGGGTTGAGAGGATAATTAAAAAGAGCTATTGTCTATACAGCGGGATACAAAATTGGTACAAATCTCTCTACTCCTAATTTCTTTCCGGAAACCTAATCTAAAACAGAGTTGACCTGTAGAGCTGATGGTAGAAACGGCGCAAATCTTCACGCTCCTGGGTTGTTCCCGGGAACCCAATTTGAACCACACCCATCCCTTAAGGCCCTCCCAAAGTCCTTGCCACGGAAGAGAGGGTTCAAAGTATTATTGTTTAAAGAAATTGGAATTCTGCTATACACAGCTTAGGTTGAAACAAGGCGCATGGTAGTATGTTTCCAGATAATGGCGTTATTCGTGGATTAGGAGAATTATTTCCCCTAAAATCTAGAAAACCACTAAGGGGGTCAATTGCAGATTACACTCAGGGATGAGCAAGGTCTTGGAGCTTGAGATTCGGTCACATAATACATAGTCTCTGACACAGAAAATTTCAAGTCCAGACATTAGAATTCGGAATTTATAGACTACGTTGAATAGACTAGCTAGTTCATCCATTGACTGCCACCAGAACCCTCGACTAGACATGGCATATATTTTTCAAAGTGAGTCTAGGTCCTCTTCGACCAGTTTTGATTGAAAATACTCTTTGATCGTCTAACAATAGGTGAACTGGACCGATGATTACAAACCACATCGTCGGGTTTGTCTGATACCGATGATCATGAACCAGCTGGTTACAAACTCTCAGCATTCTCTGGGCCCCTATTCTGGACTTCGGGATCTGCGGGGAAGAATAGCCTTATGCTGTTGGATAACCCAACCCTAATTCAATTTAATATTAGAAAGATACAGTCACGAAGACAGAATAGGAAGTTCAGATGATGTGCGGTGGGACGCCAAGTCCAGCCCTTATCTGCAGCCGCGATTATCTCTCACGAGGGTAGAATAATTATTGTGCTGTGTAGATCACTTCTCAGATTCTGGCATTGCACCCGCGGATTCCGAGCCATCAGGAGCGCTCAATTGTAACATGATCATCTGTAAGCGCCTCGAGCATTTGTCCATAAGACAGCTGTGGCCGGCCTCAGTGGATAGGGCTGTAGTCTCACACTCGACATCACCCATTCGTCTCTCAAATCGTCTCGGACAGTCCTCAAACGGCCTGTCTCTTCTCGCACTATGGCTCGGGGAAATCGTGCGCAAGTGATTGTTATTGGCGCTGGCCTGTCAGGTCTCACAGCTGCAGCAGAATTAAACCGTCAAGGCATCGATGTCATTGTACTTGAGGCATCATCCAAGGTGGGTGGAAGAGTGAATTCCGCCACCACCAGCCTCGGGTCACACCTGGATCTTGGGGGGCAATGGATTGGGCATGGACATCATCGCATCACTGCTCTGGTAAACAAGGCGAAGGGTACGACATTCCAGACCTTCACACGCGGTCTACCGACACTTGCTCGCGACGGTCGCACCGTGTCTCTCTTCTCACCGTCTGTCATTCTCGCGATGATTTATCTCGCCTTCCTCGAGTTGGTGAGCAGGATCTACGTTCCTCAAGGTTGGATCACTGTCACTGTGGACAAAGCGATTGAAACCTTGGTCCCCTTGGAAATGGCCCGACAATTCCTTCGTCTGCTCGTTGCCGTGTCTTCTACCGCTGAATTGGGCTTAACATCGGTCTACAGCTTTGCAACGGCGATCCCTCGATCGGGAGGGCTCTTGACGATGCTAGGGACACGGGGTGGGGCTCAAGACACCTTGGTTGTGGAATCCATGGGCATCACTACATCCATGTTGGCCAGCGAGCTCTCTCAGAACATTTTCACCGACATGCCGATCACAAGTATATCCCAAAACCAGAGCGACAACGTGATGGTGCGTACAGCGTCAGGCCGAGAATTCCACGCCAGGAAGGTCATAATCACGGTTCCGCCACCCATGTTGCAAAAGATCACATTCGATCCGCCGCTGCCCGTCGAACGGACGGCACTGCAGAAAAACACCCGCATGGGCGTTGTCTACAAAGCCATCGCGGTCTTTGAGAAGCCCTTCTGGCGCGATGGATTGGGCGGAGAATTCCTGATCCTTGACGACCCGGCATGCGGCGTCTTTGACACTTCTTCACCCGGAGGCCCTGGTCACTTGTGCTTCCTAGTCGCCGGCACCCCGGCACGCCAGCTCGACATGCTGGATGCCAACACGCGGCGTGAATCGCTGTTGAGTCGACTTGCGCCACATCTGGGGCATCGAGTCCTCCAGCCTGTGGATTGGCACGAGAAAGCCTGGCATTCGGATGAGTACTGCGGTGGCGGGTATCTGGCATATGCGACTGTTGGCACCACGGAGGGTCTTCTGCCCATGCCTCATAAGCCAACCAACAACTTGCACTGGGCCGGAACAGAGACGGCGGAAGAGCACCCTGGGTATCTGGAAGGAGCCATACAGTCCGGCGAGCGTGCCGCCTGTGAAGTCGCTCGCGCTCTTGGTGGTGAAGTCCACAGTATCAAATAGGACGTGGCAGGCAGATAGATATATGAAGGGGTAATACGGCCTTCGATCTTTTCACATTCGCGTTATTTTCTAGCCATCAACAGGGCCATCCAGCATCGTTGTTCTATTCCTTCGTTGTTTTTAATATTGTGTAATTTATCTCACTTGTCTTATTCTGAACTCTTACCCAGTCTAAAATAGTTTCATTTGTATGTGCAATCCCCGTTTCATCGTTTCCCGCAAGAGCTAAAAGAGATAATGTTAGGGGCATAAGATATCGATAAACACTGCTCGTTATGAATGGAAGTACATTTTAATGGAAGATTACATTCTTCCCTTAGATTATATGAAACTACTGCACAAAGAACTTTTTATTAGTGTACGATGATTCTGTGGCTGTCTGGGGCTAACTCTTCTCTCTAGGTGCCTGCAGGTTGAAACCTAGCTTGTATAAAGTTAAAAATCCACTGCGTTGGCTATATAAATCATGAGTCGATGATAAGAGATACCCTGTCGTCACTGCTAGTGTATAAAGAGGGAGAGAATGCACAAGGCTAGGCAGGATGGACCTGTTTTACTGATCTATGTCGGCTCATTTATGGTGTTTCTTCCTGGAATGTTCCTCCCAGCATCCATGGCCCTTCGATATTTCTTGTGGATTGACAGTGACCGGCGCAAGGAATGTCGGGTTTTACTCTGGTTTACATGCCCTTGCTACTCCGTATATGGCTTCTGAATGGTGGACACCCACTACATGCTCTACAGAACATATATATATCGATATACGTCACTGGGTGATAGTCATGTCATATGCAGGTCAAACTCAAATCAATTTTCTGATATACTGTGTAGAATGAAGATCGTCGATCTTATCTGTCGCATACGTCATTTATTGCATGCCAGTGGATGGGGCACGCATGGTCATGGTAAACAAGGAAATGGTCGAAGGAGTGGAATCAGGCATGTCGCATGTCTAAGGCCCCGGGATTGTCTCGGATCAATGCATCCACGTTGCGCAACTGAATCACCAAACTTTGGGAGGAAAAATGATACGTTTTTGATTGCTCACTCACTTCTATTCGCATGAAGCGAGAGGCCCCAGGCTCCTTAGCATGCCTGGAAACACATCGGATAATAAACATGAGAGCTGTCGTATATAAAACGAAGATAAGAACAACCCGGGGAATATCGTGGAAACCACATGCAGAGCATCATATACAGGAATGCCAAAGATCGAGAAAAGAAGAAAAAGAACGGTGGTATAAACATCAAAAGTCTGGTTCGTTAAAAGTATCCCTGAAGCCCACCACACCAGAGAATATGAGAGAAAAGGAACAGATTACGTGAAAGAAATCAATCGACGACCGTTCGCCAAGACGCCGTCCTATATGAGCGGGGGAAAAAGCACAAATCAGTTTGTTTTATTGGAGTGCAGGGGAAATTTTGGTGGCCATTCTCCCGTTGGCTCGTTTGTACGCCATTTCATCGCGCGTGTCGGTGTAGAAGTTCCGACCGGCATCCGACAGCCTCCGAGGATACCCATCCGTATCAGGGCGCATGCCGTTGTAGAGTGGACGGTCGTCATGGCCAAACGAATCTTCGTAAGACCGCTTGGACAAGCTGGCGCCCGTATCCCACAAGAACTTCTTGCCCGCGCCAATGTCGTGACTGGGGCTCTGAGAGATACTGCTGGATGGTTGAGAGAGGCTGTTGGGATAATCTCCCGATAAGGCCTTGAGGGGCGGAAGGGAAGGCACGAGACTGGATGACGGTGTCTGAGACCGAGGAGCCGCCGATTGAGCCATGGAATGATATGCATTCGGATCAGATGAGCGTGGCTCGCCGGATGGCATATTTAGTGGCTTAGGCGGTTCCAAACGGAGCGGAGGCAAACCACTCTTGGGATAGCTGGAACGCTCCGTGGACATCCGTGAAGGCGGATAGGGGTAGCTGGCCGTTTCATATTCAGCACTCGTCGATGGATTCCGAGCATGAGAATATGGTGGATGGGGAGAGTACGGGGCTGCCAACGTGGAGGTGGACTGTGGAGTAGGAGGCAGTTGGGGAGCTGGATATTGAGTTTGCGTGGAGCCAAAGGAGAGGTGCGACTGATATCCGGGAGTATGAGATGGTGCCGCGGGAGGAGCGGGAGGAGCGGGCGTAGACGCTGCGGCTGGTGCGGGAGCGGGTGCTGGCGGAATTGGTCGTTGGTACGGCTGCACACCCTGGAAACCATACTCGGTCGCGCCAGACGACCGGCGCTGAGCATCGGCGCCGTAGGGGAACGAGGGATCCACCGTACTGATACTGGTTGATCTCGGCCGTTCAACTGGAGTGCCTGCGTACGCGTGCGTATCCGGGGTCGAGAATCGGTCAGAAGATCGGTAGACCCTCTCCTCATCGTAGTCGTAGTCATCCGTGCGCTTCTCTCCCCGACGTCTCATGCGGACATCACGTCGAATCCGCACACGACAACCCTGCTCCGCAATAACCCGACTCAGCGAGGTACTCGTGGTCAATCCAGGGAACTTCTTGGCGCTAAACACGGTGAACGGAACGGAAACGACCTCGAGACGGAAATCCAGGAACGACTTTGGCGCCATTGGCTTCGATGGCATTGCGTTGGGCATGGACGACTGGATCGGAGCATTCTCATTCGCGTCCTTGCTGTCCTTGGTTTCCTCGTAGAGATGGAAGTTCAATCGATATACACCCTCGTGCCGCACGGAAAGATCTGGGAAGATGAAGTAACCGGCCTGTGATGGGCGATCCAAGTAAGCCACGCCGGCTACGGGCACACCAGTCAATACTGGGCATGTCGGGTTCGGGGCAAAACGGCCTTGGGCCATGGGACGAGCGGTTTCCAGCGTGGCGAACAGGAAGAAATTGGCGTTGTATGCGAAAGTGATATCGGTCTTGTTCAGGTCATCGTTGGGATCTGACTCGTATACTCGAAGTTCGACGACCGGTGGAGGATCGACTGGACGACGGTCCGCGGACGCTATATGAAGTCAGAACCATCAGCTTGATCCACGGTCCGGGTTCCTCTTGCTGGTTGGGTTGCATACACTTCGCACCTGCACCGCAGGCTCGCGCACGCTCAGGTTGCTGCATGACATTGAGTTTGTATGTGAGCTTCTTGCCCTCTCGAGTGATCCGGCTGACGGAGGATTCCGTCTCGTTCGGCGGAGGCGCCAACGGAGCTCGTGTCGCCATCTTGACTTGGGTGCGAATAACTGCCAGGATTAGCACAACCAGATTCGACGGGCACCGTCATTGAGCACAATTTCATGGTCGAAATCCAATAATGACCGGGCAGCAATGAAGGTTAGGACATACTTGGCAATCTCACGGTCTAACCGAACAAATCAACGCTATGGAAAAGTACTTGCGTCAAGCAAGTGATCTATCCTCGTTTTCCCGCGTGTGTGTAAATCTGGTTTTCTTCCAGTCTGTTGATTACTTGGGCGTGACTCCGCGATTGCAAGCCGTGAAACCGACCAGTCGGCCAAGAACGATCAAGACGGAGAGCAAGGGTGTTCTCCAAGTAGCCTGCGCGATGAAGAACGAGAGAATCACCAATGTCGACTAAAAGGGGAAGGGAAGAAGAATAATAGAATTAAAAAAAATTTTACGCTGGGTCTGCTGCGCCAAAGCAGGTCAACAGACAATCCAGCGATTGACCCGTTTCGGGATGAGGAAAGAAGGAATGGGAGAGGAGTGACAAAAGTCAAGTTGGTGATACGGGGGGCGAAGAATAATGAATGAGAGGGGGTGGAGCGAGACAGCAAGAGAGAGCGAGGACGGGAAAGTCAAAAGGGCCAGTCAGCCTGGGAATCGGCAGGTACACAACACACTATCGCAACTAACTATAACACCCTAACCGTCTCGTCTCCAGCGCCGTGGTACTGTAAGATTACCGACGGTGACGGTTTCCATCATGCGGTTCCAACAACATGGTGGCCGGGTTGACGGCCCCATATATTTCCTCGCTTTTTAATATCCCAGTACCACGGGTCTACGAGTCGCATTTCTGCGCTTCCAGTTCTCGTTCGCTCTAGACTTCCTCTCTCTTCTCGACCGGGGCATCAAAGTCAATAGGAGATGTTTATCTATTCTGACGACGGGAAACCGGGATAACCCCCTCGATACATGGCGTATGTACAGTACTTTCTAATCAAGCTGGTATGGAGGAGGGCACTAACTCTGCACGACTGAGCCGATATGGTGGGTATTGGGTCAGCACGGATGGCACTAAAATGGGGGATAGTGTCACAGAAGAGGGGGGACAACAGGAAGAATGGCCGATCCAGTGGGAAATCAGGTTAAGAGCAGGCGGTTACGGTCGCTGGGTCATGGCGACTGCGGCCCTTGGGCCCAGTGGAGTTTAGACATTGGCTGCATATCAAATAAGCTGTGAGAAAATCCGTATCTAAAGAAATCCCGGGAAAATAATCATTTAGCAAAAAAAAGAAAACAGAAAAGAAAAAAAGAAAAAAACAAAAAAGGAAAAAAGCCTGAACAGGCAGTTCAAGAGTGGAGAACAGGGAGACCCACTGGGCAACCGACGGGGGGGCTTCGAGGTCCGTGATTCCAGAGACTAGGGTAAGAGTAGTACTGGAATTACACACAAAGGAAGTTAATTTCCCCCGGCCTAGTCTCAGAGAGGTATCGCTGGCGTCCATTGACTCAATGCATACATCGTCCTGAATGGTCGGAACACCGACCAAGCGGGGAGCCTAATCTCAGGAGGGATTGTATGGCGGAAGTTAGTTGTTTGTGAATACCCCTCGAAGAACCAATTGCAGAAAGCAAGTTACGCTGTCACGGTTGACAGTGCGTCCATCATGGATCGCTTAAGGACGACTGATCATACACCAGTACGGAGTAGGCTGATACGTCCTATATTTAGCGATCCTTTTTGGGATCGTCGGGATTTGAAAATCTGATAGTGTCATGCAATCAGAACAGCAGATCGAGCGCTGCATCAAGATGCAGAGTCAGTAACTGTCCGGAGTGAG